TGGGTATGACCCTAAGCGTATCATTTATAGTCCTTTTGTTGACAAATTATATTTACAGAAGTGAGCAGACAATTTCACGCTATCTTCCTCACACCCCTGGACTTATAATCAGAGGGGTTCAATGTGTACCTAGTATGGAAGCTGATCGACTGATATGAAACACCGATAAGTCGGTACAATTATAATACTTATTGTTTTTATTTCTATGACTTTCGATTTTTGTTTGTAATTGAAGAATTTTGAACCACCATAGCTTTTTAACTTTATGATGTTTTATTACTGACGCTAAGTTATATAATAATGTCATTATCATTCAATGTCAACAGCATATCAGGTTATATTAAACATTTAAAAACGAATGATATTTAAGGTAACGCTGAGCAGTTAGACTATTGTGACTTTTACTCTCTTGTATAAATTTATGACAAACCAAATGTAATAATTGTTAAAGAAAAATAAAAGCCTACTGAGACAGTTTCATTTTATCATATAAATTTAAAAAAACAACAATTGAAGTAAGCATTATTGCAAAAATAACACACACAGCACCATGTTTTATTTTATTTCATTTCAAATTCATATCCATATTACGCTATGGGTACTCTTTCCAAATAAAAGGGTGAACGGACACATGAGCGTGAAAGATTGTCCACATGTTCAACAGAATACCCCGTAATGTTATCATCCGCGAAATTCTCTCATACCGTACCACTGCTACAAACAAAATGCACTTCATCATGTAGAGAATAAGGTCCACTATAACGTTGTGAATAATCAATACGATCTGCCACCAATCACCTTATCTATTCGATGTATCAAAGGAATAATCTCCTGTGCTGTCATTTCCGCTACTGTTTCTAATGTATCAACGGCTCTGCTTAACCACCGAAGGATTATTGAATTTTCTGCTTTTGATTAATGTGTCACGATGAAAGCCTGCCTCTTAATGTTTAATTAATAGTTGTAGAAACATTAATTTTATCACATCATCTTCTGTTTCCGTTTCAAAGAGCAATGGCATAAGAGAACAAAACAATATTTTATTAGGTACCTTAAATCATTGCAACTGAATATTCATATTCCTGTGCATAATGCAAAAAACTATTGAAATATACGTATTTTTAAATGTTCAACTCACATAAGTTCCATTCCTATTTAAAAAAAATCCTTAGCAATTTAAATAAATATTCCTTTTACACCCTCAATTATATTCGTTGGTCGATCGTTAGTCAAAATAAACAATTCGATATTGCATTTTTTTTTAAATCAATTTTACTTTAACTATTAAGTTTCGAACAATGCAAGTGTTTTAGCCATTTTACTTGGGGTCTGAGAAATGTGTTTATACCTTCATACCCTTACTTATGAAGAGATCAAAGAACTGCTAAATGGGTTTTTATAAATTCCCTCTATTTCCTCCATATACCAATTTCAAACAAACACCAGCTTACAAATAAACACACACACACACACATACTTACGCACACACTCATACAGTTGATTAATTTATTTCATCTAAACTTAATTTTTTTTTTTTTTTATAAATGATAATTATTTATAGGTACTAGTATAGGGAACATTACATTATTTTGTGCCTGGAGGTGGGCCTAAATAGTTGAACTTAATTTATTTAACTATCGAGGTTTTTATCGTACAATACTGTGTAAAAAAAAATACAATAAATACATTATGATTTTGATTTATTTCTATTTTAATTGTTTTGAGTGTTCTTTAATCTTTATATGTGTATTCTAGTGAATTATGTACTTCTTTTGAAGCACTTTGTATAAGAATAAATCTTAAATATTGTACTCAAAACTTAAACACCAAATTATGATGACGAAAATGTATTATTCCCTTCACAATAATCATTTCATTAACTCAGTACCAACAGTTTTTTTAATATCATAAAATGTCCACCATGGCATTATTCTTCAAACATATTAACGTCAATTGATTTCGTTTATTGAAAGTTATGTTAATACAGCTATTACTGAGCTCAAATATTGACGTTAACTTAAGATTTATTGAACCGACACAACCCCGAGCGAGAGACGGGTGGCCTTTTCCTGAAATTGACAACCAAATAAATTACGAGATCAAAGCTCACTTGCGAAAATATCGTTTAAAGGGGCGGATAGAGAAGCGTACACAGAGTATAAGCACTAGCTTACCGGAACAGGATGTGAAGACAGTTGGACCGGAAGCGATGCATGGCTCCGGATGTGCCCTCTTCCGGTGGGTGCCTACACTTATCTCAGCAGGCAGCGCAAAAATACCCTCCATTTGTGTCATATCGATAACCATCTTTATTGATTATTTAACTTCTTAATATAAAGAACACTATAGATATTTAGCCGGGAAGCGCCCGGTGGCCAAGTGGATAAGTACTGCCCACGATCGTTGTTGTTAAACAATTTTCGCAAAGGTTGATCACGGGATGGGTGACCAAAAAAATTTTATCTCGAAACACTCCGTGCTTCGGAAGGCACGTAAATCCGTTTGTCCTGACTGTATTTGCAGTCAATACTACCCTGCAATCCTCATTGGGCCAGCGTGAAGGATCATGGCCCATCCTCCTTAACTATCCAAAACACGGATTTAACAACTATCAAAAATGGTCCCGTGCTGTCCTCATCTGCTGCTTCTTGACGATCTTGACCATATTGTTGGTCCATATTGTAGGAGGTCTGCTTGCGCTTGGTTCTCCAATCTGTAGTTGCTACTAGAGAACTATACTGCCCCAAGCATCTGTCCTACAAGATGTCACTGAAGTGGCAATGGGAATGGCAAAATTTCCAATGCCACTTCAACCTCACAGTTCTTCAGGCTATGTCGATCATACTGATTGGTCTGCGAAACTCCTTACTTCTGATTCGATCTCGCTGAGAAATATCAAGCATAGCCGTCTGAGATCCTATTTATGAGACCCTCGGTTAGCGACCATTTCTCAGAGCCATAAGTCATTACTAGCAACACACATTGGTTAAAAATCTTTATCTCGAAACACTGCGATATTAAAGGAAGTTAATTTTGCTACTAATAAAATTGGGTTTGACATATAAAGGAAATATGAACATTATTAAAAACTTATTTCAACGATACTGATCTAAAAATGGAAAACCGCAATCAAATATAACGAAACTTGACTTAAACCACAAGTAGAGGCAAAACTCCATTAAGGTGAAGTCGTTACAAAGCTAAACAGCCGCTACGTCGCGTGACGTCGAAAATTAATTTTGGATTAAGCCATTCTGAATTGCTTCTTATTCTTGTAACTCGCTTAATCGATTACCTAATGCCCACAGGAGGTAAAATTAGAATATTTGCTTTATTTATATATTTACTAAATATTGAACTATTCTTAATGAGTTTCGACTGTTATGTCTCAAATAGGAGCAAATTAAACCCATCACGAAATTTAGCAATAGAGTCAACACCGTGGTGAATTGTAGCATCATTTAAGATAGGTACATCGACTGTGGTTATTACAGCTTAAACATTTATCTTGAAAAGATAATAATGAAATTAAAAACGGACTGTCGTTTTGTTCGTTTTTTTTGCTTTCATTCGTTTTATACTTTTCTATAGTTATTAAATAAATATAAGATAATATTAACATTCCGTTCATCAATTTTATATGTAATCATACGATGATTACTTTTGTTTTCTTCAATGTAGACAGTCTAGCAGCATCAGCTCTCCAGTAAAAGGTCTTAACGTAAAAAAGAATATTTATAATAACATAAAATAATGTGTTCTTTAAGAAACAAATCGTTTTTCTTTTTGCTGTAAATAAAAGCTCACAATTTTAGGTCGACCTCATTTCTTTTTGCTGACCTTTTTATTGTTGTCATTAGTATATTCTGATGTGATTTGCTATTGCGTAATAAAATCAGCTTAGAACTTAACGGCGAATACAGAGCTATCGCAGTATAGAAGTAAAATAATATATTTATTACTTTTTAAAGTAGTTTTTTATCAAACTTCTATGCAAAAAACACAGGCCCACTCGACGTCGAGTTCAACGCTGATTTTTTTACAGAATAGAGCTGGCGTATGTTAAAAACAATAAGCACTGTTAGATTACTAATGGTGAGTGCGAATCGTTGTAGAATAACGTACTTCTGTAACGAGTTCCTTAACTAACCACGGCGTAGTTAATAGATACTGACATAACTGAATCTTTGCACCATGTAGTTAGGTCTAACTCAGACTAGCGATTTTCACATAGTTCGATGTGAAAAGAACAATGAATTGGCGTTAATGTTAAAATTATCACCGACGCAATTATTTTAGCACCTACAGATGGCGTTGGCGTTAAATTAAAAATAGGTAAGCAACAACTTACATTGCTAATTAATCTTAAGCGGCTACAAACCTTTTAAGGGAAATCTAAAATAACGAAGGTACTTTAAACAAGCAAAACTTGAGACAATACAAAAAAGTGTGATATTGAACCGGCCGAAAATCAAATCCATTGCCTTAGAGATGACAACACCGCAATCTCGGAGTGTGAGCCTCACCCACGATATATTTCTACTTTTACCATGATATTTATTTATAGTGATATGTTTCTATTTTTATACCTATAAAGGAATATGACTATTTTCATATTTTTATATATTTTTTGACATTGGTAACAATTCAAAAACATCTATTTGTGCACGACAGGAGTTTAATTTGAAGTCGATATCTCGTACTAAAGATACTGAACACTAACGTCATTATATTCTATTTATTAGGTATTTGCACTAAACTTAAACACTGTTCAAAAGTTGTTAAATCACTATTGTAAGGTGGAGTTTACTTAAATTATTATTCTGGTATAAATCGATCGTCTGCGTCAGACTTAAGATTTGCCACTGGCAGTTGTCAAAGTTAATGAACCATTGTTGAAGTTGATATCATTTTTTGCGTTATTATATTTTTTATTTTGTAAATCATGAACTGAATCTTCTATCATAATTATTTTTATCGGCTCGTAATAAAAGCGTTATATTTTATAAGTTGTGATATAGTAAGTACAAGAAGCAAGTTTGATAAATAAAAATAAGGTTTTATTTTGGTAAAACACAAATTAGTTCTATGATAAAAATGTTCGTTTTAAAATCAAATCACAATAGCTTAACATACTGAGGTTGGAATTTTATCACCGAATATTTTCTTCATCAGCTCACATACATTCTGGAACAGAGTCCAACTGAAAGTATCTAATACCTCTTTAATTTTTTCCAATAATTTCTTGAACATCTCAATGAATTCTTCGGTGTTCAAAATTTCTACGAACCTCGCTTCCTCAGGACTTCTTTCCGATTCAAAATATTCATGTTTTTTCAAAGATGAATTAAGGTAAGAATTCAGGTAATCACTTATAAATTGTAAATTATATCCTTTAGATTCCAAATATTCGATGATCTGTAAATAAACAAACAAATGTCATACAATTTTTAATATTTAATACGATTAACAACTGAATTCAAAAGTAGAATAAGTTAATAATAAAAGATATATAAACAACTACTAGTAATAAAAGAAAATGAACGTGTAATAAATAAAGGACGATTAATATATAACCAAACAGTCAAAAAGATTTCGAGTTAATTCAAGAGAGTTTTAAAAGTTTTTCTGAGAACCGTGAGCGTTATTTGAATAGAATTCTTACTTATTTTGTTATGAAAAGAAATGAATAATTTACCTTCTTAAATTCATCAAATTCTGCAAGCCTTTTCAATATCCTCTTAAGTAACGAACTTCGTTCCATTGTAAATAAATCTCTCACTGCTTCATTGTCAACATATCCAACGGTCACCATCATCAACTTCTCTATGTCCACCATCTCTATGAATTCTCTTTTTTCGACATTTGATGGGTCGGCACGAACGACATCTGCTCCATAATCGGGAGCAGCTATCGTGTAACCCGCACTTAGAGCAGCAAAACAAAACAAAAGTACAGTAGCAGCATACATTTTGCTTACAACCAATGTTTACTTACAACTTCGAATTAATATTTAACCAATCTAATAATGCGCTTGACTATTTATACATCGATAATCTTAGTTGTGACGAAATAATTATTTTAGGTATATCTATATTACAGTAACGCTAATTGACATCGATTTTTACTATCTAAAAACAGATTAACTATTTGGAAACCATTTTAATACCATTAGTTTAATATAAACAGTAGTTAACTGTGATATCTCTTGTTTGTCTTTTATTTTAGTGAGTAAATAAAGGATTCCAAATTCTACTTTTCTAGAAATTTACCTTCTGACTAAATTAATTAGTAACCGGATTATAGCTAATAACAGTTATTTTTGCGTTATTGTTTTAATATTCAACCAAAAATTATACTGTCATATTTTTAAATGAATGCATGGATATGTTGACTACATATCGGCCAAAAATTAAAATTTTGCCTCAGGATACCAAGACCACCTCGTGACTTACTCGAAAAGTCTGATACCCGTGTCAATCATTTGTCAAAACACTATTATTATGACTTATAATATTCTTTGAATTCTTTTTAACTCAGAATTTGGAATTCAGAATTTTAATTGTTAAAAAAAATCATCGTTAGGCTCAAGTGCTTCTGTCTATTGTTTTTGTATGAAAGTTTGCAATATTAACTCGGTAAGCATTTTTATTGTTTGTTAATAATTTAATACCTATATGTTGTTTATAAATTACGTTAATGTAATGGGCCAGGTGTATTGACGATGCTGTTGTGCAAACTTGACGATATAATAGGCCCCATCCGACGCTATGGCCTGCGGTCGTATTGCCAGATATAAAATTGTTTTTTACACTTTTCACAAATCTTCTTGGAACTAAAAAAAATGCCATATTTCCTCATTATTTCGTATTTGATAGTGTTGACGAATAACAAGATATAAGATTTTTTCTTCACTTTCGTTTTACACCAAAAGTGACATTTTATTATTTCTACGAATTATAAAATGGTATCTTAAGGTAACAAAAGAAACTTCAACATTGTCTGTCGATTTGTTTTCTACTTCATAGTATTATGTTCTTAGGAATAAAAACTAAGATCAACGATAAACATAATCTCATAACGCAATTCTGTTTTCGTGTAGACCCCACATTTGAAAGAACCTTGAAGGAGCTAAAATTTAAAATAAAATAAGTTGATCCAGCCACGCGTTGCTGTTGCTCATAGAAGTAAATAATTGAGATAAAAAAAAAACTATCATACCTTTTAAGTTACAACAAATCTGTACAGCAGTTTTGAAATTTATCTATGATATGCATTGTGACACAAAATTTTGTTCTATACAATCGATTTGAAAGTACCGATCGACTTGAAAAAATCTTTCACCTTATGATACGCGGATGACGTAGACTATAATTTACGCGTCGCCGCGAAAAAATGGCTAATAAATAATAAAACATATATATATATATCAAACAACACTTAAGAGTAAATGAGACATAATCACAAACTAAACAAATAATTAAAGAAAACTTTAACGTATTAATTCTTATAATGTCTGGTATTGAAGCATGAGGACACCGTTCCAAACTATCCTCCTTATACACAGCAACACTCGTAACATCAAATTACCACAGGCTATTAATCAATAGGACTATTAATAAGTTCTGCATAGAACATAACGTGATGTGGTTATAATTGAGGTTTATGGTACTTTTACGTCTTCATAACAACAAATAAAGAGTTAAACTCTGAATATGTACTCTTGTTTTCAAATTCCAATTCCAACAATTAAACAGCGAATCGCGTAAATGAGCCAGACAATATCCTAGATGGAATAATATCGTCCGCAGCCGTCACGACGTTCGCGAAATAAGAGGAAACATTATTACAGGGCACTATCATTATTGTTTTATTTGCGAAATTGCTCGCTCCGTTTAATACCCGGTCTCGTTCGCACGCCACCCATCCGAGTGTACTTACGACGCCTCTTGAATGACAGCCCCACTTCTAATGTAATTGTTAAGTCAATTGCAAATGTTACGGATAGTTGGTATTGTCCGACTTAATAACATGCACGGATCGTACAATCTTGTTGTGTGCAATAAGGAGTTCTCTTTCATACAGGGTCAACGAGCTTGAACCTACTTACATTAGTGATATCTCTGAAAATTAGAAAGTTTTATTTTTAAGAGTTTACTAACAAAAAATCATTGATTAATCTCAGTACCTGTATTGTATTGTATGTACATTATCTATTAGCTTTTATATTATTTGATATAAATGACAAAATACAAAATCTACAAGTTAAAACAATGATAAGGAAACGTTACATCAAAATACATTATATCCAAATATAAAGAGTAATGCTCTAAAATACGTCTTAAAAAACGTTGAGATCAATTTAAAAGTATTAAAGCAGTTCACATGTTTTTTTTGTGTAACGCAGTTGATTTATCAACTGACTGCATTTCGTGGTAATTTTCGTTTTCCGCCACAAAATGTTGGAATAACATACATATCCCGATAAAAAGTTTAAATTTAATTAAAAAAAAATCTTACTTAATCTACAACAGGCTAAAAACCTTGTGATTGTGGGCTGCTTTCTAATTTCTGCGTAGATTAGAGCTCTACACGTGACTTATTGGAATATTTACATTGCATATATGTGTATTGGTTGCAACAGTTACGTATTATGATATTTTATATACTCTTATTGCATTTATAGTTTATTGTATTTAAATATTGTTATGAGCATGACGTGGTGGTGCTCTCAAGAACATAATCAACAGTCAAAGTATTTTAACCCTTCCCTCCATGCACTAACGTCTATTGTTTCACACACTATCACTAATACTTCGTGCTACTCACCTCACATGATTTCCTCTATATGTCTATTATTGTATTGGATTAGATTAAGTAATATAATTGTATCTTATCATTAATTTTCATTATTAGTTACTAGTAATATGGAAGTGGGCGCTGAATTCTGTCACTCAGGTTATACCTAGCACAGAGGTCAGAGACTTCACATTGCCTTAATGTACGATATATTTATATGACAATAAAAAGTTATTATTATTATTATTAGAATGTTGCCATGGAAGATCAGCGTCTGACTGTCTAAGACATTCAATACATGCTGAGTAGCTGTCTCTTCAGTGTCATATAGTAATATATCCCTTTTGTCTTTGTTTTTCTTGTATAGACACTGAATAAATAAGTATCTTTCTTTCTTATTAAAGAACGGTTTAAATGCTTTCTATTTTTTCAAATAGTCGATATTATTCTTGTGTTTAATATAACACTATAAATCTACTTCATTTCCGCACAAACACCTTTACATTTATATTATTTCAATTCCAATTGCATGCATTGAAAACAACAAAATTTAAATTGCCTGTTCTTTACCGCTCAATAAAGACTGCTTCTTAACTATAAGCTGTGACTGTTTTAAAGAAATTATCGAGGAGGCGCTGCAAGCACTAGGTACCGATACAGGCTCGAATTGGCTTTTTATATTCATTGTAATGGAATTTAAATTGCTGCGAAGTATAGCCTCCCTTAAACTATTCCTGGCTCGCTCACTGTAAACTCCTTCCCGGAGTCACGACGGTTAATTATATTTATTTATAATTCGTGCCTATTAGAGACTCGTCCCTTGTAATCATACTTTGCAGTTTACCTTTGTTTTATAATTTCTTTCTAATATATATTATTTATGTTCATTATATCCATTAAAGTGTATTTAATTAATACCGTTGATCTATTATCAGAAATAGGAAGTTTCCATTCCATAATTTCATTGTCATAATATAAATGACTGATTGATGTAACAATTTAACTAATATCTAACAAATGCCCGTACAGCAAAACAATTACCATAAAATTCTAAATTATCGCAAAAATTTGAAAAATTCTAAATTAATTCTACTTTCAATACACAAACTGCTAGTTGGGCAAACGACCATTAAAATGTTCATTAGTTTAAAGCGACATTACCGATAAAAGATTGACATGAATTACAGCTTAAAGGCGTCATTAAACCTTAATGGACGTTTGTGCAACAGGATTTAAAGCAATAGAAGAGTTTTGTCGCTTTTTTATAACCATATGTTCTGTTGACTGTACTACAAGTTGCACTACACTTTGGAGTTAATCGTTATGGCACACGTAATATTTACTCAGAGTTGTGTAAGTAAAATGTGTGCAGTGGATAAATTTCCGTGATAATTTCTCAATTACGTCTTACCTTTGTACACAGGACACAACACCTGCATGTCTAAATTACTTTACTTCTGTTGTTTTCTATATTCCGGAGATTTAAACAGAAAATTCGTACTCCTACCCCACATGAATCTTCAATATATTAAGATCCTAGCTGTTTTCCCGCGACTTTGCCCACATAAATATAGCCTGTCTAACCCGCCTATGATGTATTTTCAAAATTGGTCCATTAGATTCTGAGCCTATTCGATGCAAAAAAGAAACTACCAATGAAATCTTTCCTTTTTTCCGAAGTAAACAAACCCTTATAGTTACGTTATGTCCGTCTGTCCGTCCGTCCGTCCGTGATTTAAAGAAATTTAAAGAAAACTCTAAAACTATTGGTACTAGAAACGTTTATACTGTTAATAATGCCTACGCCAACAAATTGGTAAAGTAAAATATCGAAAAAAGTTCTAGTACATATCATCCCTCCCCTACATGTAAAGTGGGAATGATATTTTTTTGTCTTCCCCATAGTGTGAGGCAAACGTTACGCCAGTAGTACATATAACGATGTTAAAAGGAAAACTATCACACTTAAGTTGACTTTAAGAGTAATAGCCGCCGAACTATATTTAACTCGAAAATTTCAAACAACTCCATAGAAAAAAAACACATGTGATTTATTTTTCCTTTTTTTAATAGATTATAGAACCCTTCGTGCGTGATTCCGACTCACATTTGGCCGATTGTTTTTTATATAGCGTAAACTGAAATGTAATTATATGTTATTTTAGTATTGATAGAGTTTTTCCATTTCCACAAAGCAGAAG